GCAGTCCATCTCCCAAGAACTCCTACAGAGGCAACCTTAAAATTAACAGATCGACTAAATCTTAAATAGGTAAAAGAAGAAGAAGAATTTTTTGCTTGTATAACGTTACCGTTTTAGTTAGCGTTAATAAGTAACGGAACGCTAAAATTATGTTATGCCAAAACTCTCCATTAGTTTCTTCCGGGTCTCCGGATAACTTTAGGTCAATAAAAATATCCTTGTAACTACCTATAAATTTACTGTTTTGTATGATGATTTAATACCTAAAAAATAAATACAGAATACACTTTCTTGTTATGAGGTTGATGCATAATGTCATAAAACATGAGACACATTTTCTCAACTGATATAATATTTTTAGAAAATTACTGAGTTTAAAAATAAAATATTATCTAGATATACGCATATATTTTTAAAAAAATTTAATGGTAAAATTACTTCTTAGACAAAATTATTATAGTGAGATACAAAATAACAAATTCTCGCAAACCTTTTCTTGCACATAATTCTTAAAGGACAAAAAAGAGCGGCGTTTCGTTTGAATGACTTATTGAGCAAATGCCTAAATATATACATAAATATATGGCTCATGCAAGAATTGAAAGCGGCATTGAGACGTATATTTGTGTCACATTAGTCGATAAAGATATCCTTGTAACTACCTATTAATTTACTGATTTGTAGGATGATTTAATGCTTAAGGAATAAATATAGGCTACTCTTTCTTGTTATGAGGTTGATGCACAATGCCATAGAACATGATACACACTTTCTCAACAAAAATAATATTTTTAGAAAATTACCAGTTTAAAGATAACATATTATCTAGAAATACGCATATTTTTAAAGAATGTTAATAATAAAATTACTTCTTAGACACAATTACTCTACTGAGATACAAAATAGAGAATTCTTGCAAACCTTTTTTTGAACATAATTTTTAAAAGATAAAAAGGGAAGCGTTTATTTATTGAGCAATAACCTCCAACAGAAGTCGCAAGTTTACTGTAAGTCCATGTAAATATATGGTTTATGCAACAATTGAAAGCGGCATTGAGACGTATATTTGTGTCTAATACGATGATTTAACTCTTAAGGAATCATATAATAAACAAAGATGGACATTATTTTCTATAACTTCCAAAGCATGGACTAATTCAAAATATCTAATTGTACCGGGTTATCATTTTATTTTGACCCACTTTCAAAAGCTTATAACTTTTTTGTTTGTTGAGTTAAAGCATTCATTCAAAAAGCATGTTGTAGCAGTTTCAGCCAAATTTTTGCGAGTGTGTCAAAAATGAGAGTAGGTGTCACATGTCAGATTTTTGAAACTAAAAAAAAACTTTTTAAATGGGACGCCCTGTATATTAGTAGCGCATTAGATAGTCGCCTTTTCTCCGAATTCAAAAATGTATCACACATGTGCATTCTTCTTCTTAATTTCATTCAAGATTGACAAAAGCATGTAAAAACAATTAGGTAATTAAAAGAATCAAGATAGTTATAAATGGTTTTGTTTCCAAATTATGTTTGTTAGTTTGCCTTATCAATGTAGCACAACACATTAACAAACAATAACTAGCTATAGAATTAAAAACAGTTATAGGTTATTCATTTTCATAATCTATATAGCTCTACATGACCACCTTTTTCGATGCATTTTCGAAACATTTTCTACAGGCTTTTCATAATATGACGTTTATAATGATAATGAAGACATTTTTGAATTCGGAGAAAAGGGGACTATCTAATGCGCTACTAATATACAGGGTGTCCCATTTAAAAAGTTTTTTTTAGTTTTAAAAATCTGACATGTGACACCTACTGTCATTTTTGACAACACTCGCAAAAACTTGGCAGAAACTGCTACAACATGTTTTTTGAATAACTGCTTTAACCCGACAAACAAAAAAGTTATAAGCTTTTAAAAGTGGGTCAAACTAAAATGATAACATGGTACCAATAAATAAAATGTACATATTTAATAAAAAAAACACTGTATATTTCAAACCTAGTAAGACTAGGTTTAAAAAATAGTTTTAAGCATAATAAAAACCTTTACTATTAGTAGCAATTTGGTTCCTGTATAGGGAAAATAATTCAAAATAAATTTTTAACAACTCAATAAATGTATTAATTTAGTATATTAAAGTTTTATTAATAGTTAAACGTATTTATTATTATTATGGCTAATGGGAACGTAGTTCTCGGACATCAAAATATCATTAATCATTAGGATAAAATGCACTGAAAAATTGGCTTTCATAAGATGTCGTACCTAATAATATGTTATTTTAAACCGATACTTCGATTTTTCAGTTTCATTTAGTTTGAGAAAACTCTAGGAGATTGAGTTGAATATTTTTTACAGATTAGTTTACTGTTATACTGAGCCAGAAATAACTAAAATATGTAGTCAATGATATATCAAAAACATTTTTTCTAACTTTGCATCATACGATTATTGTGTGTCGGTCCTCTAGGACGAAAATATGCAATGGCAAGACAATTTCTGATGCACGTGATCAACTCTGAGTGACAAGCGATGGCGACAGCGCTGCCAGATTGTGATGGATTTATGAGATGAATCTTAATTTAAAATTGACAAACAACATATTTATTATATCATTAAATAAAGATATTTACGGTTTATTTTTAATTTAATAACTAATAGTTTAGTAATTATTTAATTTATTTGCTTTATAGCTTATTTTTCTTATTACATATTGGCAAAAACTAGTCCATTATGAAGATTATTCTAAGCGTTATTATGGGTTATTTATTTATTTATTGATGTACATCTTCCAACCTAAGTTATTACTGCACAAACTAATAATCACAGAATTTAATAAAAACTAATGTAGAAATAACTTTGAAAGTGGTATAATGTGCTTATCAATCAAACTTACTTCTCTGACTGCAGTCAAGGGTAATAAAGAATCTTTATTGTCACGTTCTCGTTCAAAATACTTTATCAGGAAAGCTACAAGCTCTTTGCTTCGACTGTTTAAATGCTTCGGAATATTTTCAACACACAATTTCAAAAAATGCAAAACAAAAACTCAAAAATTTAGTTTTTAAAGGAACTACTTGTGCTTAAAAGTACAATTTTTAAAAAATACTATGGAAATCGGCAAAAAACGAGAATTACTCTCAAAGATTCAGCAGCAACACGATATTATACAAAATAATGACTGACATTAGGATAATTGTTATATAATAAACGACAACGATGCTGATCGCGGCGCAATGTGACCAACATGACCATAATAAAAATCGCTTTAAACTAATTTTTGCAGCTTTAATCTAAATAAAATATCTGTTACAATCATTTGCTCTATAAAGTAAAATGAAGAGCTGCTCGGTATCTTAAATTATACAACAAATTTAAACATTTTTGCCAAAATTTCTTTTAGTCAAGTTTATAGACTTTAGTGTCAATGTCTATATGATTGATGACGTGCAGCGGAAAATGTTTTGCGATTACAATACGCCGGTGGTCAAAGCCTGTGGTAGAGAGGTTACTATTTAATACTATGGCCATGAGAAAATGTCTGTCACAATTTACTTGATTATGGCTATTGTAATCCCATCAAAAACATAAAACAACAAAACTATAAAAAGTTGTGAGATCTCATGTAAAACCAAGTCAGTTTATTTTATTTAGTCTCTCTTTAAGTACCTATTCAAATATGTTATTATAAATTGTTAGTATCAATATTAGTCATATTCGTGATACTTTTCCTTCCATTATAAACTTAAAGCTACCTAAAATTAGAAATTTCGAGTTTGTAACACATCTAGAAGTACCTTAGAATATTGATGATCTGTCAGTGAGTCAATGCCGAAATTAAAGAAATTTGACGAGCGATAATTCATAAACTATGGGGTATAATTAGTAGATATTTTAGTAACCTAGTATGTCTTCGTGTGTAGTGAAAATTAATACTCTTGCGTTATCCACAACGAAGTTACAGGGTGGTCAAAAGTGCCGCTAGTACCTTCAAAAAAAGGATGGTACGGCTGTCTCAGATACTGACTTTTGTGAAAGGATTGTATGATGAGTTAGAACTCAAGAAAGCGGCCATAATAGATCTATAATTTCGCGGCGTTTAACTTCCCCCTTCCCATAAAATCTACAATCTAGATCTTAATTAAATAATTAAAAAATAAATAAATATGTCATGGCAATAGATATATTTGTAGTCTATCATCATCCATTTCATAGAATCCTAAAATTATTTTTTTTTAAATTTGACCGAGAATGACGTAACTTTAAACAAACACTTTCTAGAAAAAAAAAACTACTCCTCCCCTTTTTGTCCTTGTACTTATATTATTATTCCCTTAAATATTTTCTCAGCACTTATCACAAAAAATAAACAATGTTGACCAAGTGGATAGGTAAACGCATACAATACTAAATTATTTAAACGACAAACAGATGTGCTATAACCAGATTTTTTATTGATACAAATTTACGGCTAAAATGTATGTCAAAGGGTGGTCCATTTTTTAGTAACAGTTAATATTGCGAGCTATGGAATAAAATACGCTATCAAATGAATCTTCTATCATTCTATAAACATTCTTCAATATTTCTATTGAAAAACAAAGCCCCATTGCAGGTAAAATAATAGTCCATCTCTTTTTTAGTCAAAGACGCCTGGGGAATAACAATCGATGATAATTTTAGCGAGGTCAAGCCCTAGACGTCATTTATTTGTCCAGTACTCTTCTTTATGTTTTAGTGGCGTTTACTGCCCGTTTAAATTATGTAGTTTAATATTAGAGAAAAAATAATTTTTGGGTTCTATCCTATTTTAATCTTTCTATAATTAGTATTAATTTATGACAATATAATAATTAGTATTAAGTTCTATGTCAATTTTTAGTAAAACACCAGTCTAGAGATTGACCCCGTCAAAATTATCACCGATTGTCATTCCCCAGCCGTTATTGATGCCGTTTTTTTTCTATCATACGGTATAATTTACCTTGGCTTCAAACTCTTGGACTTGTTCCATGTCTCTAGGAAAACCATCCAAAATGATACCTTTAGCTTCAACGTTATGCGCCATCTGGTTTTCGACATATTTCATGACAATGTCTGAAGGAACTAGCTCTCCACTCCCGATGCTTTCTTTTAATTTGTTGATGTCGGTGCTATGATGTGACGCGGACGTTTCAGTTGCGGCCCTGCAATTAAAAATAATATTTATTATACAGGGCGAGTCTTAAATAAGTAAGTGCAAATATTTTCAAGACGGGTAGATCTAGCACTCTCGAAATAACAAGGCCATCCTGCTGTGACGTAAAAATCTCGTGACGTCATCAACGGAAGGTGTAATAGTGAGTTCATACAGCTAAATAACATAAAATAAGAATAAAATAAAATAAAATAAGAAAGTTGGTTATATGGGATACCGTACACGCGTTCATACAGATAAATAAAATAAGAATCGGCACTCTTTTAACTTCTTTATTTTTGTATAGACAATCCGTTTTTTTATTATTAAATATATAGGACATTTAGATCTGAAATTAGAAACCTATTTATACGGCCAAAATATTACAGTCCAGGTAAATGATCTAAATACTCCACTTTCTTTAAACAACATACACCATTTGAACGATTTATTAAATGAAATCGATAGTTTACTAGTTTTAGGAGACACTGAAGATGAAAATTTTCCTTGAATTTACTTGAAAATAAATCAAGAAATAAATATAAATTTCAAACTGATCCTCTTGAAAATAGGTTTGGACAAGATAGATAGTTAGCTGGGAGTCAGTACCATATTTAATATTGTTTTCATTAATAAATATGATTTTGTGATGACAATACCTTGTCTAAAGAAATACCACGCGATACAAGTACCATCGAATCAGATTGGTTTAACATCGACATTACTATTTCTGAACAATATATCGAATGTGTGAAGGAAGAAATGCCTGTTATTGCTTATTTAGGAAAATAATTTAACATTTTCAGACAACATTGATATTGAACAAAATTCACTTATCAAAAAACTTACTAGCGGTAGTCTTCCAAAAGATGAAATAGACTAATATAGTTTTATTTAAATATATATTTTTAACAAAGTCTTGCCAGGTCTTGCAAAGTCATGAGGAGTTTCTCAGAATTCTCAATAAAAAAATATAAAATATTTTTATCAAAAATAACTTAGGATTACATTAAGTAATAACACATTATTGCACTTTCAGCAATGTACTATTCATAATGCTGAATTCACTGTGAAAATTGTCATAAATTTTATTACAAATGCACGTCTGAAAAACTACTGTGGTAAAAAAATGATAGACTTGGAAAAGGAAATAAAAAAGTTAGACACTCTAGACACGCTAGACACAGCATAAATAAATACAATAACGGTGGATATTGTGAGATGTAATATCACTCTGATGTTTTTTAAATTTTATGTTAAATTATTTATTAAAAAATCGGTGCAATTAAAGTTTAGAGCCATTATATACGTATAAAGAGTATCAAATCCAATCAAGTTTATACCTCCAGTTGATGACGTCACGAATAAGCTTTGTGGCTTTGTTATTTCGAGGGTGCCAGTAGATATCGATAAAAAAATACGTATTTTCTCTTTACCGTTTTTTAAATATGATTATCTATATCGTTATATGATTTATCTTTTCCAAAAGCTTACCTCATTAATTTTCCTAAACTTATATGCGTCCAACCAGTATCTTTTGCCGCGGCCGTACACAGAGCAGCCTTGTTGCTTCCAGGGCCGCCAATCACCCACAAAACTGGTGGATACGTCAAAGGTTTTATGGGAGAATTGAAATTGGGAGGGTTCGTACCGCCCACAGAAATTACTTGAGTTTTTGGCCGAGAAGGCGATGTTGATTTCGCTGGATCGCTGGGTAGATTAACGGCATGTGGCATAGGCTTAGTGGGCTGTAAGAGAAAGTTGTTATCGTAAATTGATAAGTTATGAAAAAATATATTTTAATTCTAATACACAAATTACAGAGTCTTGTAGAATGTAGAATGAGTGACAGGGTATTGACAGGGGTTTGATATTATCTTTTGTTAAGCTTTCCTGAACAGGGTCCGGACCGTCTGGTTGCCGGTAGATGTTGCGTTCACTACTGCACATCATATCTGTATTTAACATCTGTTTACTACCGCGCATCAAAAATTCGCCCTGTATTTCAGGAACTAAGGAGGCTAGGACAAACATGTGTGTAGCATATTTAGTTTCATAAAAAAGTTGCAAAGTAATGTGAAAATCGCATCATTGTATCTCTACCTATAAACGAAAAATCCTATAAACCACACAAAAATGGGATACCCTGTACATATATGATGCGAAGTAGTGAACCGCAGTAGTCTACCGGCAGCCAGACGGCCCGCACTTTTTTCATGAACGCATAGCAAAAGATATTATATTAACGACGCGCGACGGTGCTATCTCTTGTACTATCATATTTTCATTAAAATTAGATTAAATTTGTCAAAAAAGTGTCAAAACGTCCGTTATCGTACGATCTTCGATTTTTTACGACGGGCTGGAGTAAAAAAATTACGGATGAAAAGTGGCGCCAAAACGCTATATCCAATCAAAGCGCCGTCAGACCATTGTTTCAACGGATAACGAACGCATGAAAATCAAGCTTTAATAGTAATTTAGAGATTATGACCATGCCGGTCTGGGAAATTATGAAATGAACGGCATTAAAACAAAAATAACAAAAATTTTGCAGTAATCCTAGAGGCGTGTTGACACCGTTTTTTTTTTTTCGATCGTACGACACATGACAAAAAATCACAGAGGGGTAGAATCACCCATTACAAATTACTTACTATTGTTGGCAGTTCTGAAGTGGTTGTTGTTGGCAGCGTTACAGCGTTTCCGTTGGTAAATTCTGGTGGGTTTTCTTGCCCACCCAATATATGAAACACAGCCGACCTGAAGTCTTTGTACACATCACCAGGTGGTCTTTCTCCGTGAATCTGAAAATAACAATATCATTAATTAGATTATTTAAATTGTTATTTATTAACTACTAGATTATCCGGATTACTTCCTACCGTCTAACGAAGTAAGTTAAGTGACTTTTTTGGTCAATCTTGTGGTACAGATGACTGATTATATGACTGAAATATTATTTTTTTTCTTAGGATTTTCAATTTTTTTTAACTACTTGCGTGAAATTGTTCATGTATAGTAGGTCAACTAGATAATACTTTCGATAATGTTTTAAACAAAATAAATGTTTTAAAGCACGCATGTAGCTAATTTATAAACGAATAAAAATTTAATCACGTAATTTAACTTAGAAGGCAAATTCTATGCAAAATACATAATAATTATTATAAGTAAAATAGTTGATTATACAAAAAACCATGTGAACTGTTTTTTTTTGGATAATCAACTTTTATTGTTATTTTTTTAATTCTGCATCTACATGAAAAATAATATACAGGGTGGATCTTAAATAAGTGCAAATATTTTCAGGGGTGGTATATTTCCACCCCAGGAACACGTCAAAGGGAATTTTTTCGCAAAAAAGATATTGAACATTATGCACTTTCTTTTAAATTTTATAACTGCCTGTTCACCGCAAATTTTACCACGGTATCAGGTTCCAGCAATAGTGTGTCGAGCATCTGTAGCTCCTAGAATAAAAAACTTGAGAATTTTGTTTAAATGCAAACCTAAAGTATGTACCGAGGATGTATTTCAGGAAAATATATTAACTTCTATAATGTGGCTCAAAAAAGTGTGAGTGGATGGGGATGATTTTTTAAATGGATCACCTCGTATATTATTGTATTTTTGGCTTCCTTTCAGATCACTCTACATAATCCTGATATGAGTAAATGTATTTCGATAATTTCAGATATTAATAAATAAATAAAAAATATATATTTTTCAACCTGCCTTAAAAAAATTATTACAAATACAAGAACTGTCCTGAAATCAAAACTATATTAGATATTTACTTTAGATGGTCTATACTTACTTTGCTATAAATATCGTAATCTTGAATCATACAGGGTGTTCAAAATTCTACGCCAAACTTTCTAAAATATAAAGTAATTTTTTTTTTGCTTTTTTTAAATGGAACACCCTGTATATTTTTTTATTAGATGGAGACTTAAAAAATGAACATTTTTTGTATTTAAAATGTTTAATTAATTATTTGTTAATCAAAATTTTTAATGCTTTCGCTGATACACGCGGTATCATTTCATATGGCTCCTCCAACGGTAAAATACCAGAGAAAAATCATTGGGTGGGTTTGATAAAAATTTTCTGTGGAAAATGCCATATGAAATATAAAACCGCAAATATCGGCCAATCTATTGAAAAAATAATATACAGGATGTTCCATTTAAAAAAAAACGAAGAAAAAATATTTTATATTTTAGAAAGTTTGGCATAGAATTTTGAACATCCTGTCAGATTTACGATTACCGCATTTATAGAAAAGTAAGTGCAGATCATCTAAAGTAAATATCTAATATAGTTTTGACTTCAGGACAGTTCTTGTAATTTTAAAATATTAAAAAAATAATTTTTAAAAAAGGCTGAAAAATTGCTGCTTTTATTTATTTATTAATATCTCTGAAACTATAGAAATATATTAAATCATATCTTAGGATTATGTAAAGTGATCTAAAAGGAAGCCAAAAATGCAATAATATACAAGGTGTTTACATTTAAAAAAAATACCCATACACTCACTTTTTGAGCCACCCTATATAAGTTAAAATATTTACCTGAAATACATCCTAGTACATACTTTAAGTTTTTTATTCTAAGAGCTACTATTGCTGGACCCTGTACAGGGTGGGTCAAATTCGACGCTTTTAAATGGAAACACCCTTTTCTATAGGAGATAGACGAAAACTAATATCGGTGTCTGGAGCTCAATTTTCATCAAAAACATGATGGTGAAAACCGCACATTAATATCTGTTACCGTTTCGGAGTTCCGGGGTCTTTTTCAAAAATGTGCATTTTTAACAAATCGCTGTAACTTTTTTGCTATGGAAAATTTTGTATTTCTATGAAACATTTCCAAAGCACCTTTTTACGTAGAATTTAATGGTTTAAGTATGATTTTTTAAAAATTAATAATTTAAGAGTTATCAACAGAAAAATATTTTTAGACAATTATTTTTTATTTGGGACACCCTCTATATTTTTAATTAACTGAAAAGAATTTAAAATTACCTTTCCTAAAATATAGCACACTTGATATTTTGATATAATCCCCTTCGAAATACAGAAGTTTTAAAAGTTCACCACTTTTAACTAGTGGGCTTTGGACCCCTTATTGATGAAATGCCCTTAATGGAACCCGAAAAACATATTTTTCCAGCAAGACGACGCACCGTCTCTGAACGCTGTTATCAGCAAATTTTTGCAGCCAATTTCAAGAATAATTGAATAGCTAACCAAGATCCCAGCGGTTGGCAGTCGAGGCCGCCTGACTTAGTGCCCATGGATCTAATCCTATGTCTATATTTGCGGAAGAATAAAGGTTCCTTATTCTTCCGTATAATCGAGACAAGAATTAGAAATACTTAGCAGTTATGAGACGGTATCTTTCACCCCCACTGAGTTAATAAATTCCGCGAGAAATGTTCAAAAACTGCCCCGTCTGTCCATAACAGAAGACGGTCGATATGTTGAACACCTGTAGCAAAATCTCATGTCTTGGTTTGCTATTTATTTTTATTGTTATTAGATAGTTTAAATGTGTTGATGTTGGTTAAATATATTTTAAATTGTTATAAAATTCTGCATCTCTCATAGCAAATATTATTTTCGTTTTAATTGATGCTCACAGCTAAATTTTTTTTGTATTACAGCCGGTGCCGTTCAAAGCCTACTTATTTAAAGCGAGCGAATTTTTATATACTCTATATCTCGAAGAGGAATCGAGCAAAATATCAAGTGTGTTATATTTTTCGAAAGGTAATTTTAAATTATTTACAATAAATTAAAAATATACAGGGTGTCTCATATAAAAAATCAAATTTTCTGTTGATAAATCTTAAATTATTAATTTTAAAAAAATTATATTTAAACCATTAAATTCTACGTAAAAAGGTGCTTTGGAAATGTTTTCATAAAAATACAAAATTTTCCATAGCAAAAAAGTTACAGCGATTTGTTAAAAATGCATATTTTTGAAAAACACCCCGTAACTCCGAAACGGTACCAGATATCGATATGCGGTTTTCACCATCATGTTTTTGACAAAAATTGAGCTCCAGACACCGATATTAGTTTTTCTCTATCTCCTATAGAAAAGGGTGTTTCCATTTAAAAGCGTCGAATTTGACCCACCCTGTACACATGATACCGATACCACCAAAAAGATTAGTACGTTCCTATTTGTAAACAATATAGTAGAAAACTGTTTCAAAGCATCAGGTTCTTTCAATTACTCCAGATATCCTGTATAGAATATAATCAAAAATTTTCTGTTTCATATACTTATTAATTCAGATTGTTTGAAGAAGCGAAAAGATTTTAGAAAAAAAAAGAGTTTTTAATTTTTTTCATATTGTTCCACCACTTCAAAAATTCTAAAAGAATCCTGAGTGTAAAAGACATTTTCTGACGGTTTTTAGTGAGTGTCTTATTTCACAGAGGTTAAAAAAATGAAGATTTTAATTTTCTTTCCTCCGCTAAAAATCGGCTTTTCGTTTAAGAGTCATGAACATATTATTTTTTCATGTCTTAGACTTCTAAGAATTAGAAAAAAGATCATTATTAATTAATTTTGAATTTTACTATAAAAATAAAAATAAAATTAAAAAAACAGATTTTTTTAAAAATCTCGAAAACCGTTTTCGTTAAAGAGCTAAAAATTTAGGTGAATTATTTTGATTCGACACGAAATCGATCCTCTGAGTGCGAGTTAAAAAAGCCGCGGGGGTAGATTTCCAATATTAATCCGGCTATACCCTATGAAATAGAAATTTTGTCAAGATTGAGCCCCTAGACCCCACACAGGCTACTTTTAAAATGAAATTACTGTTTTGTTGAGCAACGTATAAGGTAAAAAGACAGATTATGGTACCCATAGATCAAGGAATCAAGTTTAGATTGGAATGCTCGGCTTGCCGCAAAAACGTATAATTGTTTTGGAGCACATATATTGTAGGGCGCTGCTATAGAACAGAACATAGAACAGAAATAATCCATAGATTCATAGAAAACAAGAAACATTCATAGAAAACAAGAACAGAAATAATTTTCTCTTATCAAAGTCAGAATCTTCCAAAATTATAAAATCTTTTAAAATTTAAACTACTATCATTGAAAAAAATACCGAAAAGTCTTTAAAACGTCCATTTTCAAAGTAATTATGCTCTCTTGTGAGTTTAATATAAATTTTATGTACTCAAACCCGTAATAATGGGCTCTTTCAATATATTTTGGAATTAGCATAATTGAATAAAGCAATTAATTCTAGAATTTTCAGCTATCTCACTTTCGAAAAATTTGAAGTCGTTCTTAAGAAAATAAATAAAAACAAAAAAGCTCAGAATAAAAATCCGCACTTTATTTTTAATACGTCACACCTGGCATGTTGAAAAGCGGCAACACGGCCGGGCCACCATGCTGACCCGCCACCACCTCCACACAAGGCAATTCAACCTTTTCCAATATGGTGGAGATAGAAGTGCTTTATTTGGCGCGTATTTTAAAACCTGTTTTATTATACCAAACCAAATAGACATTTTTCACACAAATGTCGGGTTAGATTACGTAATTTTCACTAATTTTTTAACATACAGGGAGTCTAAAGCTTTCCACATAAGTGTGGAATTTTTTGTATTATTACTTTTATGAAAACATCAGTTAGTTACTTTTTATAAAAAGTCTGATTTCTCAGAAAATAAGTAGGTACTGTACTAGTGTGTAAATATTCAAACTTGAGGTAGCATATATAGGGTGTTCAAAATCATCGGAAAAAGAAATAACCA